ATATTTTTGAATATATATATATATATATATATATATATATATTATAAACTATTGCTTCCAGCTATCAGACTCAGATCAGACTTGACTTAAACATCAGCACGTTGTGAAGCGTATCGTGAGAGTGTTGTGAAACTCTGATGTTTACCGTACATCAAACGTGAACTCATGAATGAGCATGTGACAACTGGCCGGAAGTGATGGTAGCTAAAAAATGAATCAGTGTCTGTTAAAAAAAAAGTCAATCAATCATTTCACTTCAGAAGACATTCGCTGGGTCCCAATTCACCAATTTATACTATGCCCTAAAAGTATGTACTCTTTTATGTAGCAGAATAGTAAGCAAGCTTTGGGACATACTACTAAGTCATAATTGACTCTTCCTGGAGTTTGATTGACAGGTGATCTGACCAATCAAAATGCAGAATCTGTCGTTTTGTCCGACAAACAAACCAGACAGCAGTAGATTAACGTCGGTCTTGAACTTAAAAAATGGTGTGTATAGACATCTTTCTGTGGTTGAAACAAGATAATCTTCTGATGTTCATTCATGTTTATTTCGAGTGATAACTAGTAAAGAGGAAGAGATGATCGATTCACGTGCCGCTTGAACTGAGGTGCTACAGCAATCTGTCACGAGTCACATTAAAGAGCCACAAAATGGTATTTATTGTTTGAATTTCTGAAAAGCTGAGATTTTGTTTCATACCAAAAGTAACCTGCTCTGTCTTGTCTGTCGGCGTGTTGTCAGTTTCCTCTTTGCTCCACAATGCATTATTTACTGCGTGAGAATATGATGTGTGGCGTGAGAATGCCATGGCTTGTCAGACGTAGCAACAGTAACGAAAGGGGGCGGGGCTTTGAGAAGGGTCATTTTCGTCTTTAACGGACCGCTCTGTTGCTTAGTTACATGCAGCTTGTCACAGTTTAAACTGCCCTGTCGATCATCTTGTCACAATTAACATAATTCACATTTTGTTTTATTTAATTTCCTACCATATTGGAAAGAAATTAAGTGTGTGTGTGCGTGTCTTTCATCCCGACAATTCTCCTCATGTGTTTGCATAATAATGCTTTTAAAAGTTAATGACTAAACATATCTTTATAAAAGTTCACAATGTTGTTACAGATCAAATATAACGTGGATAACATTAAATAAATATTTTTTCATCATGTTAGATATTGATTATTTATCACTCAAACCACTTTCTCTCCCTGTCCGTCAATCTCGCATATATCGTTTTTGAAGCATCAGCTTTGAAGGTTCTATCCATTTGCATTATATAGACTCACAGAGATGGATTATTTTTCTAAAAATCTCCATCTGTGTTCCACAAAATTTAAGGGGGTCTGAATACTTTCCGTACCCACTGTATATCTGTGACGCATAAGAGTAAGTAAATGATGAGAGAACTTTCATTTTTGGGTGGAGTATCCATTTAAAGCACTTGCCAATTTAAAATAGACCAAAAAAAAAGCATTGTGATGAAATAAAAAGTGCAGCCAAAATTTATTGCGTTTGAATCAGTCATGCCTGAACAGCGGCATACTCATATCACAGTCCCTCAGTGTGATGAAGAAGCCTGCCCCAGCAATTCAGATCCCTGACCAATGATCCTGATTAAAATCCTCGTGGCTTGCCGAGAGATCAATTGAAGGGGAGTGGAAGTTGCTTATTCAGCAGCAGTGGGAGCATGATTGGGGTTAGACTCAGAGCAGAGGGAGTCAGAACTGGAGAACTACAGTTTGCTGTTGACTTTGCACATCACGCTTCATAGAAAAGATTGCTGCAGACAGCAAACTGTCACCGGTTCTCACGACAACATCAAAGCTCTCCAGGACAGAATCACTTTGTCGCAAGCGAATATCTCCCTTCCCGCTTTGGTTTTTAAAAAGAGTGGAGCAAAGGGCTATAGTTACATCTAAAAATAGATATGAAATCAATTTGTGCTCCCCAATGCAAAATATGATAACTTATTCTGTTTTCATGTTTGACCACTCCTATTGCTGAACATATACAACAAACAGAAAAACTCAGGCGTGTTTATTTTGTTTGTGCTCAGGGGAAAAACATGTAACTTCTAAAGCAAGGAAAGTACCGTAGATGCCGTGAGTCAGAATATACCTTTTCAAGAGTGATTAAGCACCTTGAAAAATGTCTCTCTCCTACCCTTCAACATCTCACATCTCTCTCTCTCTCATTTTCTTGTGGCTAAGAGCACTTTGTGTGAATCTGAATGTGGTTTTGTGTGATATCATCATCTCGCTAGGGTCAGCCTTTCCTGCACAAGAACAGGACAAGCTGAGATGTCCGATTCATTAAAAAATTACTTTTGAATGGTTCTTTTGATGAGTCAATGAAAAAGATTCATGTAACACAGCCTCGTTAGTTTGCTCTTTGAATCAGACTCACTCAGTAAGTGAATCACTTGAAGCTGTAACTTTTTTTTTTTTACGTCATTGTGCTGTTATGTGCTGAACTGTTATTATGATATATATATATATATATATATATATATATATATATACACACACACACACACTTTTAGTTATTAAAATTATTCTATTTTCAGACTGGTTGGTAATACTATATGGCCATATGTAAATAGCAACATTTTCTCAGAGTTTTGTTGTATAAATTAATACAAATAATTCAACAAATAAATTAAGCAAATATTGGTTATTGTTTAACATTGTTAACTTTGTTTGGGAAGCATAATTAACACAACATTTTCTCCAAACAAATAGAAATATTCTTACAAGACCACAGAGTGATATTTAACTGACGCAAATACAATTGTTAACTAGAATTACAGCATCAAGTTGGAACAAATTAACACCAAGTACAACTAAATTCATATAACTTACTTTCAGTCGCTGTCCATAAGGGAATTTTTCAGAGAGGATGACATGTAGATTAATATTGATCAAACCTATAAAAGACTGCAGCAGGTTCAAAGGCGCGATGATTAATGACACAATATAATCTCCCTGATCAATAACACAACAATTGCTAATATAGTAAATCAACGGAACAAATCTTGCAGCACCGTATACAGACTATGATCATTTTAAACATTTACACATGCATGCACAGCTCTATTCCATCTACACACTCAATGTTTAGAGAAACTACATCCTCCATTTCTTTATTTTAGTATAGCTATACATAGCCTGTCATTAAGCCTCACTTATTTTGAGATCCTTCATTAATTTAATCAATAATTTTGTTAAATTTGATTTGTTTCTCTTTACTTGTTATCTTAAATACTAGCAGGTTTGACGATGCAGTAAGATGATACTGAAAGCTGATTAGCTTGAACCTCTGACAGTTATTAGTTGTACAGTATACGCAAAAAAGGCAAATTTCATTTAGCTGTTTTCGGTTCCATTTTGGATGGAAGCAAACAATGTTGCGTCATTTGAATATTCATTCTGATCAGTCATTTTAGTAACGAGAGGTGATTTTAGGCTGTCAGCCTCTTCTAACATCTAGTCTCCTGGATAAAAGAAAAACATATTTTTTTTTATATTTAAATTGGACATTAATGCATTTATTAATGCAGTACACTGAATAAAACAAAAGTTAACTTTATCAGCATCATTATGGTCATTTTTAATACATTTTTGGAAATTTTCAACTAAAACAGTCATTTGTTGTTATATGTTTAATTTTAGGAGCTTTGCCATTTTTTGGTTTGCAGCCCTTTTTAAGGATGCCAGTGTTGTTGTGAGATTTGGACCTTTGCCAAGCTGACATCAGATACCATAAATACAAGCAGCTGTTTCAGACAGTAACCTCTATCTGACCTCCTATATTCTGACCAGGTACCGCAGCCAGACATTCTTCACCTCAATCACAAAAGAGTCGCATTGACCCGCTCTGATGCAAACTATCACCTGTCCTCATCCAACCCTGTTCCATCACTTCAATACCTCAATTCTGGCCAATAGAGATAATTACCAAGCCCATTAATGCCACTTTGCACATAGAAATGCAGCAAATGAGCTGCTATAATTGAAATGAGTGCTTTTCCCATCTGTTGGGAACATCTGAACCGACTGATGAATATCTATTCTATGGACCCAGACCTAAAATACACAGAGCTCGGGAATGTGCTGTAAGAAACAACGAGTTTGGACGTGGCTTATTGTTGCCCCAGAAAAGGGGGTTGTGAGTGTTTAACAAAGGGGTGAGTTTACAGAACTGATGGCCAGTGCACCTGGTCTACATAAAACCAGAGAGTGACCTTGGCTGTTTATGTGTTATCAGGAGCCGTATCAAAGCCCCAGACAAGGACTATTGTCAAATATGTAAAGAAACAAAGAGTCCTTCTGATCTGGCAAGGTTAACAAATACATCTGCTGAAGCTTGCAGAGAGAAGTCTGACACTACATCTGAATGCATTTAGAGAAAAAGTGAGGCTCAACGGGAATAAAACAGAGACTGTATTTCATTAATAACAGATTAACAGAAGGCAAACTTGTATATATACAATATAGTACCACTACATTTATTAATATTGACTGAGAAACAAAATAAATAAAAACACTGTTTCTTACCTGGTTCACTATTATATATAAAATTGTAGCCATCATATTCTCCTTTTGGTTCCTTCCATGAGACAAGTAGCCTGCCTGCACTCAGAACTTTAAATCGAAGTCTTCTTGGAGCTGGAACTGCAAGGAAAGAATGGAATTATAAACTGAAAATTTGAAAATTATGCTCAAATAAATCTTTAAAATATTTTTCAAATGAGAGCTTAAATTGTACTTGGATAAAAATCCAAGGAAAGGTATGTTTTAAGTCATATTCTCACTCTTTTGTTTATAGTATGTCCAATTTAAGGTTATAATAATCTGTAAGGTATTTAACATTAGGAAATGTAAGGTGATTTAATATTATTATTTAATTGTCCATCCGACATAATGCACATAAGATCATGAACAGAGAGTTACTGTCTCATTAAAAATGACAAAAATGACAAGGTAATTGACAAGAGAATGTGACTTTTAAAGGTCAGAAGAGTTTCGGCTATTTTCTAAAGCATCCTAATTACCAGTGAGGTTCAAAAGGAAGACAAGCCTTAAACAGTTCGACAAAGCATATTACTTCAGTTTATGAGTATCTATAGCCATAAACAACTGATTAGGGGATGTCTTTCATCATTCAATCCTAAATATTTTTCTACAGATGTAAACAAATCCTTCTGACCCATAATCAGTTGTTGTGTGTTAGACCTATGAGAAACCACCACACCCAAACATCACATATCCCACGTAAGGTAACGAAACATTGATTAATCAATGTTTCTCTGTCCTTATGTTGTGCGCATGCCACAGTTCTGCCGAGAGAAAGAAACCAAGGTGCTATAAAGTATATATGAAGAAACCATGTTGGCACAAACAGAAAAGGAAAATATGTAAGAATAAAGCCCAGAGGTCAATACTATTGGAAACGGGCGTTTAGGAGACAGAGATAAGACATAATACTGATCTAGATGCACCAACCTGAGGAACGGAACACTGCTGGGGTTCCTGTGGGGTGAACATCTCCCTTCTCATGGACAGATTGGACACCCACACCACACTCTGTCCAATATGTGTCTTTGGGGAACTACGATTCATTTCCATCAATCAGTGTATATAGAAACACGTTTCAGTGCTTCTGTGTGTCAAACGTGGAAACTACCCAGCAGGAAACAAGGTTTCAAGTAATAGGGTTGAAAGATTAGGCTAAATGAATCTGTTACTCACTAAGGACTAGCTAGTTTGGAACCAATTGTTTGTTACAGTGGTTAATGATCAACTTATATTTCCCATAAATTAAAGAAAAATCTTTGCTTGATCTTTTCTTAAAATAAATTGGGTAACAAGATGGTTGAGCTTTACAGATATTACATAAAGTTTTGCAAATTAATTATGTTATTTACTTGTCTTTACATCATGCTATCGAAATGGTCCATAGCATGATGGAAATGTTTTTTTTTTTTTGGTGTCACAATTTTACAATTCATTTATTCATTCATTTAAGGATGTATAGATGGAACAGCTAAATTAAAATGACAAATCACTAATATTAATTACTAAATGAATGACCAATCAAAAGTGTGGGGTCCATATTTTTTAAAGAAAATAAGACTTTTATTCAGCAAAGATGCATTAAAATAAATAAATATTGTTCTTTTGAACTTTACATTTATCAAAGAATCTTGATAAAATGTATAACAATTTACAAAGGAATGTTTATTAGCTATAATATGTTATAATATGATATTATTATATAACTGTTTTTCAACATTGATAGTAATACAAAATATTTCTTGAGCATTTTAGAATGATTTCTGAAGAATCATGTGACACTTAAGACTGGAATAATGGCTGTAAATAATTTTTTTGTGATAGCATGAGTAAATAAAAAATATATTTTTTTAATTGTAATAATTTTTCACAATATTTTTAATCAAATAAATGCAGCCTAGAGACTTCTTTCAAAAACATTTTAAAAAATCTTACGACCCCTACCTTTGGAATGATAATTTATTAAAAATAATAATTAAAATAGTTTCCTTCTACAATGAACTGCATATCAGTGATGTCCAAAATGACATTTTTGTATGATTGTAATTGTTGAATTAAAATCTAATCTAACTGAATCTAACTTATCTAATAATTATTATATGTAATAGTTCACACAAAAAAAATGGTACAGTATATGTACCTCTATAACTTTAAAAAAGTTATGGAACACCAAAGTGTACTCTATTCATAGAAAGTGTCAGTGAAAATTCTTAGTCATTCATGTGAGTGGGATGAAATGAGCACTGATATAGATCCAGCCATCCAGAGAATTTGGAACATTTTTCACAACGGATCATCTGCGTATAAAGTAACCACGGATTTAGAGAGGAAAAGTGTGTTGTTGTTCCAGCTCAGTACTGCACATCATGACGGAGATGAAAAATGTATGCGAAATACAACTCAGAAAGTAATTCCAACGATCTTGAGATGCTAAAACTCTGCTCACGAGCCATGAATAATGAAGAAGAACACAATACATTCATCAGCATGGAAAAACAACAGATTTCTGGAAGCGGTATCATGACAGTTTCATAAAATAGTCCTTGGAAAACTGTCTTAGCACACCTAGGCATCCACGACTCCTGGCTTTTGGTGATTAAAGGTTTTGTGGCAAATAGACTCCTGTAGAGATTGAGGGGGAGGTAAGGAACAACGGCCATGGTGGTTAAAGGGTGACAAGTGCTGACTTGTAATTTGAAACGAGAGAAATATAAGCAGGAGGTCCTGTGTCTGTATATTAGAAATGCGCACCCACAAATCCACAGGCCTTTGATGTGGATATCTTTCATCCTTTTGGAGACACTCACAGAGTTCTTACTCCAAAATCCACTGCGTCCTTTTATCACCGTGCTTCCAATTACTCACCTGTCAGAAGGCTCCGCACTTGTTTTGAACGTTTATTTTCCACAAACTCAAAAATCGCTGTTGAGGGAATTAAAATATTAATGCCTACTTAGCGGGAATAGTCAGAAACATTCTGCACTTTACAATCATCTAAGTCTGTTGGATGTGATGTGAATTTACATAGATCTGAGCAGCAGGAATTATGCAGGACCAAATGAAAATCCGAGAGACTTGGCTACATTTCCCATCTCACCAATGTGTAAAAATACATTATCTAGACAAAGTGCTTAGTTAAAGGTTTTGTAATGAGACGTGCTGCCTGTGTAAATCCAAACAACAATTAAGTTAAAACTGTGAATGTGAATTGTTTTGTGCGTTTGACTGCTTGAGAGTTTCAGACAGCTTGTTTAAGGTTGACCTTCAGTTCTTTTGTTTCATTTTTCCACAACTTCATCACACACACACAATACAGACCCTTCCAAAACGCTTTCATAATGTCTCATCACACCGCTTTGTATCACTGACTGCTTCTACCCATTCATTCTCAGCAGGGCATTGTCAGCATTTGCAATCATTTTCGCTCCAACACATCAAGTACCCACAGTGCAATGTTTTCTATACGTCGTCTGTGTCGTGTTAAAGGAATATGGCAGGTTCGAAAAGCTAAGTTAAGCTCAACTGATAACATTTGTGGTATAGTGTTAATTACAACAAGAAGTAATTTCAACTCATTACTTGTCTTTTAAAAAATGCAAAAATTGAAGTAGTGGCGAGGCACTCGGGCCAAAAATGTGAAGCTAATGATTTTATAAAAGCACTAATCTCACCCCAGGAAAAACGTGCCTGTGGCAACATTTCTGCAAAATGATATTATGTTGCTTTCTGCATGTTTTGCGCTACATTCAAAATTGAAATGTACAGTTAGTGGCACTAAAAGCACATTCAGTCCTCTCCAGAACAGATAAACACAAAAGTGGCACCATTTTTTATGTTGGTTGTTGTACGTATCGCAGAAGTTTTGAAATTAACTTACCACCTACATCAAACCCTACACTAAACCTAACCGATATGTCATTTTAGCTTGCTTCTACAAGTCTATTAGCTCTTTTATTGAGTTCTGTGACTTAGGCCTATGTTTCACAGCACTCATATTTGAATGCTCCCCATTGCAATGCTGGACCAGGAGAGCTACCAAGTAAGTTTACTACATCAGAAAAGCCATATATGAAGCTAGCTATGTGAAGAAAACATCAAAATGTATTAGTTTACAAATCATGCATAAACATAGTTTGAGAGAATGCGATTTAGGAATCAACAACTGAATATTTTAACATTTATTGCTTGGCCCCATTCATTTCTGTTGTAAGTGCCTCATTATAACCCAGATTTTTGCTTTTTTAAAAGCAGTAACAAGTTGAAATTCATTTTCATGGTAATCAACATTATGCCGCAAGTGCTGTCAATTCGTCTTAACTTGTATTAAACCAAGAATATTCCTTTAACTATAAGTCTTTGGTTTGTTTATTCCTGTTCAGCTTCACCACTGAGCTGTTTAAAATCCCACCAACAATTTTAGTGATTTGAGGAATGAAAAGATGTATAGATGGCATAAATTTAAAGACTACACATGCCCATCACACAAGTGCTGATCTGGGAAGAAGAGTGAAGGCAAAAAAGCCAGAGAGTAATCCGAACTTTGTCGTCCAAACAGAACCTTTAAGCTGCCTTGAGGGATATTATCATTGTGGTCCCCTGTGATGTTACACTAAATGCTTTTCCACATCTCTATCCCATCTAAAATCCTCAAGACTCACATTAGCTCTTTTTACCTTCTTACTGAGAGGCATTACACTGAAATGAGTCCTCTTAGGAGATGTGAAGGTGCATGAAGGGTCGAATGTTTCTTTTTGTTCCAAGCACAATCAAATGTAACCCTGCCGTTGCCATCAAATGACTAAATTATGCATTGAATGATTAGGACATCATCTCATATTTTACACAACCACACAAAAGCCAATAAACCAGAGCAAATACCAATTCAAAACCATGAAGACAGCAATTACCTTGAGCCGAAACAGGGGTAAGAAACTGAATCAGTGCCAGCGAGATAAGCGGACACCACAGCTTAATCCTCGATCCCGACACCCGCATCCTTATAGCCGTGTGAGTGATGCTTGCCCTGCACCTACGGAGGGAGAGAAGCAGAAAGTGAGCAGAGGAATTCACTGAAGCTGTGTAGCCTCAGGTGGATTTCAGAAACAGAGAGGGAGGGAAGAAAGTCTCTGCGGGTCAAGAACAGTAAAGACTTTGTTGAGTTTTGATGGACAGCCAGTGAGAAGTGCTTCCTGAGGACCATTGTTGTTCCTGAGAACATGCAGGCCACTTCGGCTCCTATCATTCATGTCTGATAAGAAGGCTGACATGTGTTTAGAGAGGAAGCCGCCCGGGCTTGTTCAAGAGGGCACCCCCACTTAACTTAAACAGTGGTTTAAATTAGGGTCAAGAGATTATGCTGGTTAGCTGCAGACTATGGTATGTAGTTCAATAAGTCAGTTTTTTCTCAGATGGCTTCTTCTCTCTCTCTCTCTCTCTCTCTCTCTCTCTCTATTGTTGTTGTAGCTCTGGTTATGATATGCCTTTTTAAATGGAATATTGTTTAAATTAAAGCTTGCTTGGATGGCCCATGGCTGTCCATCACAGCATCTCACTTGTAATTTGTCTCAAAGCAAGCTTTTTATGCTGTAAAATTAGATTAAAAAAAGCATGCTATTAAGAATCTAAGCATTACGTTACAGTCAAATATTTGTACTAAAAGAAAAGCCTTTTTAACAAGCCCACAACGCATGGTTGAATTCACTTGCATGCCTGTCTTTGACCCTCTCTCTCTCTCTCTCTCTCTGTTTCACCTGCTACTGAATGCTGAATCCTGAAATAAACATCAAGCGCTCAACTTGGCTTCATTTCTATTCTCAACAGCACAGTAAAGATGAAACGCGCTAAATTAAAAAATAGATGTAGGATACAAGCAGGGCCGTTTCTAGGCATAGCGAGCTAGGCGGTCGCCTAGGGCGCCACCAGCTGAAGGGGCGCCAATGAGCGCACTGGCACTTTTAGCAGGGTTGTGATAAAGAGTGGCATGGTCACCCTGATATATGACTGCCGCGTCCCACTGGATCCCCCAACATTATTGGGCTAGTGCAGTGTTTCCCAACCGGGGTGCCGTGTAAAAAATAATTTTTTAAA